GCCGGTCCCGACGCCAGCTGACATCGGCTTCTGCTGATCCAAGAGTGCTCCCTCCCTTACACGGCCTACAGGGCAGGAAAGAAGAGAGACCCAGCCGCCAAGTTGGGGGGGGGGGGTTGGAAAGGCCAAACCAAGGTGCCCCTGATGGGCGGAATGCTGGGAATTTTGTGGGACAGTCTAGGCAAGGGCAAATTCCCCAACCTGAACACGCGTCTCCTTCAGGCCTGAAAACCAAAAGACGGGCAGAGAGAGAGAGAGTGAGAGCGGCGGGGGGGGGGGGAGACAGAGAGAGAGAGAGAGAGAGAGAGAGAGAGAGAGAGAGAGAGAGAGAGAGAGAGAGAGAGCGGGGGACAGAAAGAGGGACATTGGGAAGACGTGTCCAGCACTTGGAGGCCGGCCTCTAGGCTGGCCCATGAGCCCACAGAGATATCAGTGTGAGGTGGGGGGCAGGGAGCCAGGGACACTGGACACCTCCCGGTTCCCTTCACAGGAAGTGACACTGGCAGCCAGCAGCCAGAGGAGACCGGGAAGCAGCTAGGAGCACCGGCGGCGGCCAACGATGGGGACGCGCGGCAGAGCTCCGCAAAACAAACAGCGTGGGCGATTCAGAACCAAGTCAAGGACAAAATCCGAAACCTCCAAACCCCACCCGCCTCGGAGCGCTTTTAAGGGAAATCACCTTTACGGTGACATTTAGCACTGAGAAACGGGGGCACGTGCATCTGGCTGAACCCGACTAGGGACAGAATGGCATGGGACTCAGAATCCGCACGCACAGCCACCCCGTGTGTGCGGCACAGGAACCTCAAAGAACAGAACGGACTCGTGCTCATAAGGGGCCCTACACCCAGACCCACGAGGCCTGGGATTCAGGACACGCCGGACAGGCCAGCACGCGTGAGCGACATCCAATTAGCGCTGGGAGGGCGGGTAATTAGGACCGGAGGAGCGCGTGAAATTAAGTCTGAAATTCAAGGCGGTGGCTAATTATAACCAATTGATATCCCTCATTAGATGCGTCTGCAGGGGGGGTGGGGGGATGGCGCTTCCTGCTCTCCTGTGTAGGAGAAAAGCAGGGGGAAAAAAAGGAGGATGATGGAAAGGCAGGAGGTGGGGGTGCCTGCAGGGTGCTGAGGCAGGAAGGACGACAAGGCAGAAGACAGTGTGTCTGTACCACCGCGGCTCACGGCTGAAGGTGCGAGGAGAGGAAGAACGTGGCCAGAACAAGCGGCAGGGCGTAGCGCTGAACCCCGGAGGGAGCAGACGGGGAGGCGCCAACTCCGTTCCTGTTCTCAACAAACTCTGCCGGAAGGAGCACGGCAGTGACCGCCATGTCCGTAAGGGTGGGGGGTGGGGGGCGGAGCCGGACGGTGCGGCTCCATCGCTGGCTCGACGGAGCGGCAGATGGAGCCCCCGTCTGAGTCCTGCTCCTCCCCTCTGTCAGAGCACCTCCTAACAGATGGGCCCAGGGATCCTGGGACTCGGCTAATTTGCATCCCTCCTCCGCTTACAGCCGTAGCGCCCACTGCCCCCCCCCCCCCCCCCCCCCCAGCCCTACACCTCTCTCATCTCAAACAGAACACGTTGTCGGGCAAAACAATAGAGGTGGGAGTGGAAGACGAGGAAATGGCGAGGGGGCCTTGATTTTCATAAGCTTCCCTCTCCAGACTGATGTCTTTTACATGAATGAGCAGCCCTTGTCCACCTGGGAGGGGCTTTATTGAATAAAACCCACCTTCAACCGAGCAAAAATGGCCCTGTGTAAGGAAGAAAAGCCAAGTGTCTGAATGACTCAAGGGATCTCACTGGATTCAGTCCCCCTCAGCCCTTGGGTGTTTCGGGGGGGGGGGGGGGGGGGTGGTAGCTACAGCTCCCGTGAGGACCCTCAGCATGTTCGGCTGGCTCGTCCGAGGGCCCCCCGCCGTCCGGTTTGCTCACGGCGCATTCTGGGCCGCAGGTCGCAGAGGCAGGCTGACAGAAGCGCTGTGCGGTATGATCTACGGCCGCAGGAGGACTCATGGCTGGGCTGAATTAACAGCCAGCCGGACCGAAAAAAAAAAATGGGGAGGTACTCTTTCCAAAGACAGCCAACTGCACACATCGGATGGGCTTTAAATCTTCTGAAGACACAGTCCCCCACCCACCCCCACCCCAAAGAAAAGGCCATGAAGCATAACCTTGCATAGAAGCCCCTGAAATTAACAAACAGACCTCTACACTAACACAGACAACACCCCTGGATAAACACCCTAGTTCTTCACCCCCCAAACCCCCCGTGCTGCCCCCCCCCCCACAACTCCACTCCTACTGGCTCAGTATGTGACTCAGGAATTTTGTAGTGTGAAACAGAAGAACCGCCTACCCCTCCCTACGAATAAACAGCTTATCGGCATGGCAGCGGACACAGCAGAGGAATTCCTGCCACCAGAACCGGGTTTCCATAATGGCGAGAATATTGCAGTGCACACATTCCACACGTGAGGTATAGCGGACTGAAACAAAGGGCCGGAACGGGACAAGACACCCCCAGACGCCTAATCTGTCTAACAGCCATGTAATCACTGCTCTCCAAAAAACAATCACATTCCACAACCCACGGTACATTTCATGATTCACCGGGTTTTATACGGACCAATTCTTTAAAGTGCGCAATCCTGGGCCGACATGGACTAGGAAGACAAAACAGTCCCATAAATTACATCCAGAGGTCCCCTTAAATATTTTGCATTCTGGGGGTGGGGAAATTTCACTCACGATCTACGAATGCAGCGGCCCATTGCAGATTCACCAGACTGCCCTATGGCCAGTCCATCCCTGATTCTGGGAAAGATAAGTCAACAGCAGAGATCTGATGTTTTTCTTTATGCAAAACTTCAACTGATTTGCAATGTTGCATTCTAGTTGCACTCAGGCGCTGTGCGTTTATGGAATATTCCTGAAAACACAGCTATGTAAAGCAGTTCTGGGACTGAACACAAGCTGGCAGGGCCAGTGGGAACGTCAGACAAAGGCATGGAATTCCTGTCCACTACTGCTCACACAAGTACACCAGGGCACTGTCACACGCCCCCTAACCACCCTCCCAATCAATTCAAAACAAGAGGCCCCATGGTCTCTCTCCTAAACCATTTCTCACACATCTTATTCCTGACATTTGCAATCATACAAGCGTAAATATATGTGGGACAGCATTCTCGATTATTTTCCTTGCTTCCCATAACAGTCTGAATTAAGACAATTTATAACCTAGTATACTATTTCCGACATGTGCTTTATCTGATTTTCCGGCAAGTCCCTAGTTAGGGTGCGTGACAATGACGATGCTGGAAAAAATGCCATTATTCCATGCTTTTGTTGCAAGTCTATCATCTGACGGGCATTATATTTAGTTATTAGGAAACGCGCTTAAAGCAAACGCAATACGGCTGGACGCTCGAGACCGAGACGATCTTGTCACGAGGGGTCTCTGTCCACGTGCAGTCAGCCTTCACCGATCAACAATAAGTTTGTCTTTTGCTTCGTTCTTTGGAGTGCGGAAAGCGAAGAACCAGCAGACTGAAAAACAGACTGTGCTAAAAATACAGAAGATGAAAGGGAATAACGCTTACACGGATCGAAGTGTCAGCCTAGCTGTGGGCTCGCACCTCGCGCTGGAGCGCGGCCAACCCGCACATGCAGCTTCACAAACACGAAAATGTTCAGCAATGAACGCAGTTAAGCTGCTTCACACGACCAGTGAGCTCTAACTAGCAAGTTGCAATGAGCTGCATTTAAATTCCGCTACACTCCGCAAACTTCTATAAATGTTACGGATTCTGATATTCATAAACACTTAATTCAAAACTGAATTAAATTTCTACGACCACACGCCATTATTCGACATTCGATGTTATTAGAGGAATTACCTTAAAACCAGCCGCAAACTGAACAAATCCGACAGTGCAAAATTAACCTTGTATTATTTTCGTTGTGAGATTAATTATTTAGGATCTGCGGACCCGAATTTCAAGTTTAGGACTGCTTAAGTTACAACAGGACGCGCCGGTGAAAATGTCAAAAGGAGAGGCGGATTGCAATAAACGGAGACGAAACTTGACATGTATCCCCTTAAACGACCAGTGCCCCCCCCAGCCGAAAACAGCGGCGTCCCGTACGATGCGCTGACGTCACAATTAAAATCGATACAACAATCGGCGTTTATTCAAGCACGAGCCGCTTTATTTCTTCGCCACAGGATCTCCGAGCGGCAAGGAGACTCTCCGAATATCCCTGCATTTAGGACAGACTGACTAACCCCCTCCTACCCCTCACCGTCTCGCATGACGCGAAGTTACCTCCATTATATTATCTCAACAACTTTTGCCCTGTGTAAACGTTCATGAATTCCGATCGGCTGACGATTAAATAAAATTTAAATATCTTAAGGGGGACCTTATCTGTTAGCGCTGGGAAAATAACAATAATCGCTCTTCCTTATATGATTTAACAATATAAAATTGTGCATTTCTTCCACGGCTGCAGCTAAGTAAACCACAATAAACGATATACCGGTTTCCGAAAAGAATGCATGCATTCATAAAATCGCTGGAAGTACATGCAATCGTCCCGTAAACGGACTATGAATTATAGTTTAATTTTAGAACACGAAATGAAATCATTGTATTCCTATGAATTCAGCACCAGCCACTGTGCACTTACGACTACGAAATTTTGAAAACGGCATTAAAGGATTATTTTCTGGAGTTGTCAAGTTATTTCCTTGTTCATTTGGTGTTCCGTAAATAAACTATATTGGCATTAGCTGGCTAGCCACTAGTTTAGCTAGCTATTTTTTCAGATGCATGTGCGAGAAAATTGTGCAAGGGAAAATACTGGAAAAGGCATAACAACCATGTTTTTTTGCTATATTCGTTCCGCGGTATTTTAAATTTAACGTTACCGGCAAAATAAACAATGAAGTAAATGAACTGCAATTGCAGTAATTTTTTAAAATTACTTACGCTTTGAGTGGATTCTGAATGACAGCCGCCATTTTGCTACACTGTAACCCAATATTCAGCGTCTCGGAGTTCTGAAGAAACCGTACGAAAAAAGGCAACCAATCACGCTGAAGATGTTCGACTCATTAGCCAATGGTATCCCGATGCTGAAAAATAAGGCATGGCCTGTTTGGAAACTGTCAAAACCATTTTAAAGGGTTTCTCCTTTGTACAGTACAAGTGCTGAATGCCTACAGTTTTTAAAGAGGCAGTTTGCGACGTTACTATAACACGAGTACCTGTTATTTGCTCTGTTTGCAGCATGCAAGTGCAAGATAACTAGTCGGCCCTCTGGCTGTTAGCTGGATTTTTTTTTACCTGTGGGGGAAGGGGCTGCATGTTCATGACCCTTCTACTCGGTTTTTGGTGCGCTTTTGTCTCGCAAAATTCTTAATGCATTTTATCATGAGTAGTATTATTGTTGGATAACATCATGTTTCTTCTAATTATCAAATTGATTGCATTACACCTCATGTGTATTTAAGGGTTTAATTTATTCCAGTTGTGTTTAAAACACTTTTATATTTCAGATATATATTCCGTTAGGTATTGACAATTGCCTACAGAAATACTTAAATGTGTAAAATATTAAAATATTACTTAATGTGGCCAGAAGCCATGGTTAATTTATTTTGATAACTCAATATATAGCAAAATAAAATAAATTGCACAGCAAGGCCCCACATTCGACCAAATGGGAGGAATTCTTAATCGGTGATTTTGATCGTTGATATAGACACTTTAATTAGCAAATTGCTTAGTCATGCTGCTCACTAAGCACGAACTGGAAGCCTTTACTGGGATATCTCGGATCGAAAGTTCCTGCAGGTGAAGCCCTAGAGATTTGACTTTCCGCTAACCAATTTGACACTGACTGTTCCTACACCAGATAGTTTTCATCCATCACATCCAATTTAACACAAGCTTAGAAAGCTTTCTAACGTGATCCACACCCGTAAAACATATAGAGTCAAAGGATTTAAGTCACAGTTTTCCATGCATATGGAAGACCAACAGTTTTCTACCCTAAACTTGATATTTTTCTGAAGCATCCAAATTTGTGTAGGTTATACACTAATCTCGGGCCTTGCAGATCCTTAATATAGCAACCACCTGGTTAAAAGTCAAGTTCCTTAAGAACTATGCTACATGCTTCTGTTTTAGAAATCATTATAATCCCATTTGTTACACTCTGATTTTGTAGCAGCTACAAAAATTGACAGGACCATGTTGTGTTTTGTAATGTCACCGAGCTGCAGGATACAGTGACCTTAAACTCAGCAGCCTGCTGCCCTCTTAAATCCATTCTCATCTGACCCTCTATGGTTCCCCTCCATCAGTTCATATCACAAATCTGTAAAAAATAAATCTCAAGTAAGTCATTCTAAAATGCTCTCACTTTCCAGTGGTATATAGCACCTTTCACTATAACAAACACAGTCGAATTTCATAACACTAAAGTTTTTGATTGACCACAGAGGCCTACTGCAACTTGATGGGTGAGATGGAAAATTAAGACTTTCCATGATGCATGCACAGTGTTCACACAGGTGCACACATGTGTCTGCGATATGTATAGCTACATTTCCTCTCTGTTTTTTAAACCAAGCTTGCAGTGAAATGCTAAATTTAGATATTTTGTCTGGGTTCTCATGAGCAGCTTATTTTTAAACGCGTCAGGTATTTTATAGGCTTCCTGCTAGATCATGAAGATAATTTCCCTACGCGTTACATCCACAGACCGCGAGCTGCCCTTCGTGCACAGTTTTGAGAGCAAAGTCCATCACACTTGGATTTTCCATCCTGCAGGTCCTCAAGAGAACATCTGGCATTGTATCTAGCTCATCCATGACAATGATAGTTTCACCACTGGGCACGCCATATGGGGTGTGCTGCAAGTGAGAGAGGGAACTACACTATGGACAAAAGTATTTGGACACAACTCTTCATCATTGAATTGAAGTGTTTCATTCAGACCCATTGCTATTGGCTAATGTGTAGAAAATCAAGCACCTAACCATGCAGTTTAGTTTACAAACATTTATAAGAGAATGGGTCGTTCTGAAGAGCTTAGTGTAATCGTGCGTGGTGCTGTCATAGGATGCTACCTTTGCAGTACGTCAGTTTGTGAAATTTCTTCCCTGCTATATATTCCACAATCAACTGTAAGTGGTATTATTGCAAAGTGAAAGCATTGAGGAACAACAGGAACTCAGCCACGAAGTGACAGGCCACGTGACGTAACAGTGCGGTGCGGCACAGAGTGTATGAAAGTCGTCAACACTCTGTTCACTCAGTAACCACATGGATCCAAACTTCCTCAGGCATTAAACCCAGCACGAAAAACTGTTTGCCGGGAGCATCGTGGAATGGGCTGCTTATGGTGGATGAGCCTCATGGAGTGGACTCTGGAGCAGTATTCTGTGGAGTGATGAATCACGCTTCTCTTTCTGATGATCAGATGGACAAGTTTGGGTTTGGTAGATGCCAGGAGAACGTTACCTGTCTGACTGCATTGTGCCAACTGTAAAGTTTGGTAGAGGAGGGACATTGGTATGGGGTTGCTTTTCAGGGGTTGGGCTAGGCCTCTTAGTTCCAGGGAAGGGAACTCTTAATGCTTAGCATACCAAGAGAAGTTTACCTTTCCAACTCTGTGGGAAATGGTTGGGGCCCTTTTCTGGTCCAGCATGACTGTGCCTGATGCGCAAAGCAAGGTCCATAAAGACATGGTTGGGTGAGTTTGGTGTGGAAGAACTTGACTGGCCAGCACAGAGCCCCGACCTCAACCCCATCGAGCAGACGAACTAGAACAGAGATTGTGAGCCAGAAGTTTACATCCAACATCAGTGCCTGACCTCACGAGTGCTTTTCTGGGTGAGTAGGCAGATGGGCATTCCCACAGACACACTCCAAAATCTTGTGGAAAGCCTTCCTAGAAGAATGGCACCTGCAAAGAGGGGACCAACCCCATATTGATGCCTATGGATTTAGAATGGAATGTCATAGAAGTTCCTGTACATGTAATGGCCAGGTGTCCCAATACTTTTGTCCATATAATGTACCTTTACCTTCACTAGAGCTGTCAGTCTCCTATTAACCACATTATTGTTTCCAATTCTAGACATACAGTATCTGCATCTCTATTTTAGGGTGGCATGTGTTGCCTCACATCAAATCTCCGCCAGGGTTAAATGTGTGTGTACGTTCTGCGATGGGTTGGTCCCCCATCCTGGGTTGTTCCCTGCCTTCTGCCTGTAGCCTCCAGGACAGGCTCCAGAACCCCTGCAACCCTACATAGGACAAGCAGTTTCAGAAAATGGACAGATAGATCTCCATCATACTCACCAGCTCCTTGTTGATCACTTTGACAGGGTAGGACCACACTATGCTGAAATGACCCAAGCAGCCAGAGCAAACAGTGTGAGCAGAGGAGATCCGGTTGTCACGCTCATTCTCAGTTTTGCTATCGTGTAAAAAGAACTCCACCCCAAACCTGTTCCAAAGACTCTGGGACAAAATGGATTTTGGTACGCCCCCCCCCTTAAAATCAGTGGAACATATAGGCTTCAAGCCCCAGAAATCCTTTAAAATGTATATAAATAATTCCATACAAGCAGGTTGTGATTGACAAGCTGAGACAGGCCGAGGTGAAAACCTGCATACAGTTTGACAGGAAATTAGCTAATTGCTGTCCTGTAGTTCAAGGGCCACGGCACAAAGACGGCTGACAACTGTCACCTCTGAGCTTAGCATTGGCGTTTGGAACCATCCCTCTATTAAAAAAGACATGGGTATTTTTTGTCTCTCTCGGGTTTTCAGGAACACTGACTAAACAGGTTTTTCCTCCCCATTCTGCCCACAAGCTCTGCTTTTGGGAAAATCTCATTTCAATATGGTTATTTGGTAGATTCTCTCTTTGTGCACGTGCATCCTTCAGGTCTCCTGATCGCTGGCTTTTCTGAAACACCACAGGATGATGCGGGTCACCCCACTGTAGACTGTAGGCTGGTCAGGCTGCCCTGTGCGCATGGGAGAGCTGTGTGGCTGTACTGTCTGGTGCCACATTTTTTCAAACTCTTCCCCCGGCCAACGACAGCTGGCTGCACGACGAAGCCGAAACACGTCAAGATGGCGATGCCCACACCTCTGACGCTTGAGCCACACCAAAGTTTTGGAATGCACCACTAAAGAAGGGCTGTTTTTTTATTTATTTATTTTTTTTTAAAGTATTTTGGCCCTCACACTGCTAAACTGGTTATGTCCCTTGACCAGTGAGGTCAGAATTTCTCTTTGTTATGGCCCTGAAAAGAGGAATTGAGACTTCAAACCTTTGATGATCTGTAGGACCAATGCACAAATCTATAAAAAAAAACAAACCATATAATTACATTTAAATTATCAGGCTAGATGGCCTTTGTGTAATTCTGCAGTCTCCACCATGAAAGGTGGTGCCCTCTAGTGGCAGAGGCCTGCTCCTCCCAGGGGGACTGTATACAGTGCACTGGCCACCTTGAGGTCAATGTGCCAGATGACAGGGTTTCAGTGAGTCGTTCTACCTTCCTTGGTGTACTGATGGTGGTTCTCATGGTAATGTCACATCCATCAGCCCAAAGCTGTCTATCTTGAATTCTGGAATGATCTGAAAAGCCCAAACCTCCCTGCCTCGGCATATATCCTCACTAGCCTCACCCTCCTAGGTAACAGGCTAATGGCAGTTTCCAGGATAATCGTCATCAGTCTTACAATCTGGCTTCAGGACTGCATGTGAAAAATGTGCGCCTCATACTTTCTCCTTTTGTGAGTGGTCATGAACTGCAGCAGATCAAAGGCACAGAACTGCCACATTGATTTCCTTGAGTCTTTGACCTGAGGCAACAAAAGTCTTGCCCCTAGCTGTCCAGGCTTCTGCGTTTGGCGACCATCTGCCTGAACTATCCGAGGCAGAGACGTGTATGTAGCTCATGCCAGCAGAGGCAGCGCCCTCTAGCATCTCCAGCCTGCCTCCACTACAGCAACTGCAAAAGAGTGTCCAACTGGCAACCATGTTAAATCTGGCCCCTCGATCTCCGTCCTTGACTTCACTGTCACATCATCGGCCCTTAAACTTGTTACAATTTTTTCCATTCGTTATCTCATGAGTA